ATCTAAAGCTGAACAGAACTATTGTACTACCAGACGGGAGCTACTAGCCATAGTAGATTTCACATCACATTTCCGTCAGTATCTGCTCGGGCGACCTTTCAAAGTACGTACTGACCACAGCAGCCTGCGCTGGCTAACACGTATGAAAGAGCCGGAGGGTCAGTTGGCCCGGTGGCTTGAGAAGCTAGCGGAGTACGAATTTGAAATCTTCCATCGCCCAGGTCGCCTGCACGCTATTGCTGACAGTCTTTCCCGCAGACCCTGCCGCCCTTGTAATCTGCACGACCCATCCTCACAGCAAACTAGTCACCGGGCTGTTCAGTGTGATTTGGACTGCAACACCAGATTCCCGTCGCTGAGTCCGGTGGGGGTAGTGGAGACACGCCCAACAACTGCTGCTGTGAGCCCGGTGGAGGTAAGCACAGATGATGGCAACATTGACATGTTAAAACAGAAGGAGTCAATTGGTGTGGTAAACACAAACAAGACCACACTGTTTCCTGGTTGGACTATGGATGAGTTGTGCCAGGCCCAAGCTTCAGATCCAGACATTTCGCCAATCAGAGCCTGGTTAGAGACAAGCAGCGAGCGCCCTCCCTGGACCACAGTCTCACCATGCAGCCCAGCCACCAAAACATACTGGAGTCAATGGAAAAGACTGTACTTCCGAGATGGAGTTCTGGTCCGCCGCTTTTACTGTTTGGATGACACGCAATTCTATCCACAAACTGTCCTGCCACGAAAAATGCAACCTGATGTTATGCGCCAAATGCATGAGGGGCCAGTAGGTGGACATTTTGGCATCGAACGAACTGTAGCCAGACTTCAAACCAGATACTATTGGTACCACATGAGAGAAGACGTGGCCCTCTGGTGCCGTACTTGTACAAACTGTGCATGCAGAGCTAGGCCCCACAAAACTCCACAAGCACCCATGGGAACTGTCAGAGTTGGAGCCCCCATGGAGCGCATTGCATTGGACATTATGGGCCCACTTAATGAGACGGAACGCAAAAATTGTTATGTGTTTGTAATACAAGAGTACTTCACTAAATGGACTGAAGCGTTTGCTATCCCTGATGAAAAGGCCGTGACAGTTGCACAGGTCGTTGCAACAGAATGGGTGTGTCGCTTCGGAATGCCTCACACTCTACACAGCGAAAACCCACACTACGCCTTTCAGACCACAGTCCGATGGCCAAGTTGAACGTTTCCACGCCACACTCCAAAAGATCCTGGCTTCGACTGCAGAACATTGTCATTGGGATTGGGACCTGATGATTCCATATGCAGTTATGGCCTACAGAGCGACAAAGCACAGTGCTACTGGTTTCACCCCAAACTACATGATGTTCGGACGTGAGATAAATGAGCCAGTGGACCTTGTTGCTGGTCTGCCCCCGGACTCCGATCATGCACGATCAGCCCCAGAGTATGTACAGCAAATGTGCGAACGGCTGGAGTTGGCTCACAACATCACTCGTGAAGCTTTGGGTGAGTCAGTCACACGTGCTAAAAGACAGTATGACAAAAACGCTTGCCACACACACTACAAAGTTGGAGATGCTGTGTGGTATCTGATAAAAGAAACACGTCATGTCAAAAACAAAGTCAAAAAGTTTCTCCCTTCCTACGAAGGACCTTTCTTTGTAATGGGACAGCTGGACGATCTGGTCTACAGGATCCAAAAGAGCCCCAGAGCCAAAGTCAAAGTCGTCCACCATGACCAACTGAAACACTATCGCAGCCACGAGCCCCTAGACAACACCTGGGCACTGGATCAATCCCAGAACTGGGCACCTTCTGAGATTCTGCCGCCAGCTGTGGACAGCGACCCAGTGGACCAGGACCTCTGCCTGCATAACCTCTATTCTGCTGTCTCCTGTGATGGTCCCAGCAACTCCAGGCCATCTGCTCCACTTGCTAATGACTTTAATGTGACTAGGTCTCCTCCATCCACTCCTTCCCATGTGATGTTTGACCATGGTGGGGGTGCGGTGGGCGAGCCACACCATCAGACTCAGCCCGCATCACGTCCCAGACGTCGACGGAGAGGACCGAACCGGTACGGGGACTGGGTCACTGAGTAAGAACAGTTGTTGTTGGTACTAGAGATTTCATAGTTACATTTCTGGACTCTAGTATAGTTTACAGTTCATTACATTTGCTACAAAAGCACTTTTTCATAGTTTGAAAGAAAAAAAAAAGGGGCTGAAGAAGCAATGCTTTTATCAACCTGCACTTTATTCTATTTGAATGTATTCTGATAGTTAATCAGTTAGTTTACTCCCGGTCGCCAAAGAGTAAGTATTAATGTGTAATGTGCACTCTTTTCTAGTGAGAACATTGCATTTCCTTTTTGTAGGTTTCACTCTGTGACGACTCGTGCTCAAGTGATAGTGCGGGTGGACCCAAACGAAAAGGGAGACGGGGAGAAGGGTTAAAGGAAACAGGATTTATTTAAGGAAGGGGGTGGGGTGAAGTCTTTGGGGGTCGTGATCCAAGAAAGGGGGGTCCCGAGAGTGGTGCACGACGAGCCGGTGCCTGAG